CATTCTCCTGCCTCAGCCTCCCGTGTAGCTGGGATTACAGGCATGCGCCACCACGCCTGGCTGGTTTTTGTATTTTTAGTAGAGACAGGGTTTCACCACGTTGGCCAGGCTGGTCTCGAACTCCTGACCTCAAATGATCTGCCCACCTCAGTCTCCCAAAGTTCTGGGATTACAGGCATGAGCCACCCCACCTGGCACAAGGCCACTTTTGTGTGTTCTCCTTGGTGGCATTACATCAATAAGCCATAGTTTATTTCCCCTGAAGACATTTATTGGACTGATACTGAGTTGCACAGCCTGGGTAGACATGCCCCTTGCCTCCTGGGTTGAGTCTGTGTGGCCCTCAGAAAGGCTCCAGTCCAGCCTGAGGCATGAGGAAGGAGCCCCAGCAGCCAACTTAGAGAATTTAGTCTTTGCCGAGTCCAGTGGAGCCACCAAAGGCTTATGATACACGTAGGAGTCCATCTGGTACCTACTATTTTTTTCCCTTTTCAATTTTAATTTTTTTTTTTGAGGCGGAGTCTTGATCTGTCAACCCAGGCTGGAGTACAGTGGTGTGATCTTGGCTCACTGCAACCTCAGTCTTCCCGGTTCAAGCGATTCTCCTGCCTCAGCCTCCCAAGTAGCTGGGACTACAGGTGCCCGCCACCATGCCTGGCTAATTTTTTTTGTATTTTTAGCAGAGATGGGGTTTCACTATGTTGTCCAGGCTGGTCTCAAACTCCTGAGCTGGTGATCCGCCTGCCTCGGCCTCCCAAAGTGCTGGGATTACAGGCGTGAGCCACCGCACCCCGCCAAACTAATTTTTTTTGTATTTTTAGCAGAGATGGGGTTTCACTATGTTGTCCAGGCTGGTCTCAAACTCCTGAGCTGGTGATCCGCCTGCCTCGGCCTTCCGAAGTGCTGGGATTACAGGCGTGAGCCACCGTTGCTTAAACCCAGGAGTTGGAGGCTGCAGTGCGCTGTGATGGCACCACTGCACTCCAGCCTGGGTGGCAGAGCAAGACCCTGTCTCCAGAAAAAAAACAAATAGATTTCAGAAGGTAGCCTGGCACCTGAGCAGTGGGGGGGCTGCAGAATTTGTGGGGCCCTGGTGAAGCCACCGAGTGACGCAGAGCTGGGGCAGCCCTGACCGCCTACAGCCCGGCCGTGCTGGCGCTCCATGATGTGCTGAAGCAGCAGCTGAGCCTGACGCAGCAGTTCATCCAGGCCAGCCGGCACCTGCACGCCTCCCTCCTGCGCTCCCTGGACGCGGACTCCTTCCAGTACCACACCCTGGAGGAAGCCAAAGAGGTGAGCGCAGCTTCCCACGGGCAGGGGCAGGGCGGTAGGGGAGTGGCAGCTCTCAGATGCCGGCCGAGGGGATGTGGGCAGGGGACTGGGCTCCAGCGCTCAGCCCAGGGCTGCAGGGATGCAGTGGGGCCATCGCCTTCTGTCCCTGTGGAGGGGCCTCATTTCTTTCTTTTTTTTTTTTTTTTT